TGACGTGACTGCTTTCATCGACTGTAAACACTGGGTTCCAGTATGGCGTTGTAGATCGCGGGTTTGTCGATGACGACGAATTTCACAAGGCAGGTTGTCTTAGCGGCGTAGACCGGGAGTCTGATCGTGCCGATGGAATACAACGGTGTCCCCGTCGAAACCGGTGAGGGGCTTAACAGAGGACTTGAGGTGATGACCAGACAACTCCATTTTGTCCAGGGTTTCCTTAAAGATCAGGTCCACAGAGCTGCTTGTATCGACCAGGATACGGGACACCTCGCAATCTCCAACCCGCAATTCGATCACCAGCGGGTCGCTGTGTGGCATATCCAGACCTTCTGCGTCGGCCTCGAAGAACGTGACGATGTTATTTTTGCCGGTTTTCGGGGTTCTCGCTCGTCATATTTGAGCTAACATGACTCGTTTGCCGTATTTTTTTATTGATCTAACCGAATCGTTGCAGGTCGGGAGTCCGCCCATTATCATGAAGACCTTTTTTCGAGAAGATGGTGGGGTATCGCCGCGAGGTTGGCTACCTCGTTCCCTTTTCGAGGGATCGTCATTTGCTTGTTCGATTCTTGGAGGGGAAGGCGGAAGAACTGGAGGTTGTATGACAACGGGTGCTTGGGAGCTAACGTTCCCACGTGTATCAAGATTTACCGGTTGGCTGGTTCCAGCGATATCTCCCTTGTGATACTTGGAGAGGAGGTATGCTTGCAACTCGCGGCACATCGCGGTTGGATGTCCGTATTTGTTGTGATAATCGCAGAACGGTCTTGTCTCCGTGCGATCGCCGCGCTGCCATGTGTTTGATTGTTGCTGCGGTCGATTTTGAGATGCGCGTTGATGTTATACGCTGTTCCTAGCCGGTTATCGCCTTTGTAATTGTTATCGATGTGCTGTCTTGGCTCCTGGTGATCGGATCTGGCAACCTCCTTGGTGGGTTGGGGTCGCTGCAAGGGTTTGGTTGGCATTGCCATTTCCTTTTCTTCCTCGTCTTCGATGTAAAGGGTGGCTCGGTGGAGAGCGTCTTCTAGAGTATGTGGTTTGGCGAACTTGAGGCTATCTCGGAACTTGGAGTCGATACGGAGGGAATTCGTAAGGGCTGGGATCGAGGCCTCGTCTGTCGTGGTCACTCGCGAGACGATGGCGTTGAACCTGCCAATGTAAGCTCGCAAAGGCTCTTTCTCGCCTTGCTTAATCTGATAGAGATCAGTGCTAGATACCGCTCCTTGGATGTACATCATGTATTGTCTGAGGAACGCTGTTGAGAGTGCCTTGTAATTATCGATCGAGTTAGCCTTGAGCTTGGAGAACCAAACGAGGGCTGGGCCGCTGAGGTTCTCGACGAATAGCTGACAGAAACCGGCGTCTTTTTCTTCGGATGCAAAACGAGCTCGACCCATCTGAATGCTGAATGCGGTCATGAATTGGCTGGGGTCGGAGTTCCCTGTATAAGTTGGCAGATTAAACTTGATTTGACTGCGTGATAGACAAGACTTTTTAGGGTCTCAGGGCTATCAATCCCCTTGTCAAAGTAGCACAAAGAGGTTAATCAATCCAAGAATGTGGTGATAGACACTAAGCTATATGATCAAGTTCTTAATTCAAGCAAACAAGAGTGGGTTTTGATTAATCTAGAGACAACTACAAACATAAACAGGTTTAAAGACTAATGACAATGACTAATCAAGAACTAAGCAATGACAAATGATGTGAATATGATATGATGGAGGCATGAGATTCTAGACATGATAGTTGGTTAGGGTGCTTTGGTGCTAAACTAGAAATGCTAATGACAATGATGAGACATGATTCAAATGATTAAGAACTCAAATCTAGGTTAATCCTCTCATGAAGGTATTAACCCCTATACTAATCCATTTTCAAACCAAATTCTCATTTGTGAAACATGAATCAATATGCATTAATAAACAGCTCTTAATGATCATTCAAGCAAATAACAATACATCATCATGCAGAAAAATGCTTAAACCTCTAATACAGCTCTTTCAGGAATTTCATCAAACACTTTTGGTGCATGAAATTCCCAGAATCTAGATCTCAAGTGATTATCAAGGATCTAGCATAGAGAACAGCTGTTTAGAGAGATGAATCAATGAATCTAGCCCTAAGCACTCCTAATCTAACACTTTAGCACCCTAACCTACACATCTAGAACCTCATTAAGGTGACTACTCACTAATCATACTAATCTCTCTTAAACCTTTGCAAGTTGAGAAGATTAGCATGATTAATGATGAGAAATGGAGATGGAGATGATAGATTCAAAAGAAAACAGCTTTAAACCCCCAGATCTCTTAAAACTCTCTTGATTAAACACTCAAATATAGATATTTCTCTTCTTAATGGAGTCTTTCACAAAAGAGGCAAGAGACAAAGGGAATAAAACTTAGTTCTCTCCCAAAAAACCCTAAAAAGTATTTATACTTCCTTAAAAACGAACCAGGTCAGCCCGGAACAAACCGGGTCCTGACCCGGCTTTAATGGGTAAAGTGGGAATTACTGCGGGTTGGTCCAGTATGTCCCAGGTAGCAGACCTAAGTCGCAGTAGATGAAGACTTGTCTTGTGAAGCCTGAATCGCATTGTCTTAGCCGCACGCCTAAGTAGGAGTGTTTTGCGAGTGTTGCTGCGGCTTGGTCTCCTTCCTCTCCAACTCGCAGGGCTAAGGCGGTTTCTGGGGAATGTACAAACTGTGCGGGTTGGTCTCTATTGCACCTAGGTCGCAGGCTCAAGTCGGAGTGATTTGCGAGTGATCGTGCGGCATAGTTCCAGGCGCGGCTAACTCGCATGCCTAAGTCGCACGATTGTAGACTTAGCATTTCTCTTGCTCGGGAGCTTCAGATCTCTTCCAGTGATAGTTTACCCGCACATTTCAACTCGCAGCATCAGCATTCAGGCGTTCATCTTCAGGCCTGCGGGTTAACCAAGTCGCAAGACCATCTCGCAGCATCCAGAGCAGCTTAGACCACTTCGCATTCCGGAGAGTGTAACTCCTATGAGACTTGTCCGAATTGAATGATTTCGGTTGCAGAAGACAGAGGACTCATGTATCTCCAACTTTGGTGAAGGAAGCTTCGGTGCTTGGGAAGTGTAAGGCTTCCTGGAGGGCACATCTTTGCAGTGCATGTATACGACCAGAGAGAGGCGTCTAGGCATGTGTCCATTCCGGAGACCGTATCTTCTTCCTCATAGATCCGAATTGAATGCTCTTGGACGTTCTGTAAAGAAGACTCAAATGTCTCTGATTCTCATGAAGGACCCGGAAACTGAATCGGCTTGGAAGTGCACCGTCCTTCGCATCCTTCAGAACTGATCTGCTCGGTCCGGAATACCTGCGAGACAGGGGTTCCTTCCGACGAGCTTAACTCTCTGCTCACGCGTCCGTATTCCACGATTCCACTTGCTATGAGACCGTGATCCAATGCTCTCCAACTTCTATGAAGCACCCGCCATCTGAATCGGATCGGAAGGTTCCCCGGACAGGTGATTTCTGAGACATGTTTGCACCCGGAGATTTTGGCCGATACACTTCACTCGCGGTACGTGTTTTGGTCGACAAAGTCCACCCGCGGTACGTGAAAATGGTCGACAAAACCTTCCTGGCCAGCGAGAATGGCCGATAACCTCCATAGACCCAATTTTTGCCACTTTTTAAGCTTTGATCACCATTCCACCTCCTGGATTCATCTTTTCAGCTCCAAATGCACCTCATGAACACTCAAAACATGCAAAGACTCATTGGGACCTAATGCATCTCCTAAGTTCTAAAACAAACCCTAAGGACCTAAAATGCATGGAATAAAATATGATTTAGAATGAATTATGCAACCTAAATGATGCAAATTATGAACATATCAACTCCCCCACACTTTTCCTTTGCTTGTCCTCAAACAAGAACAAATGAGAGAAAGAGGTTGGATGCATTGGGAGTTCACATTTCCTTTTTCAGAGAAGTGATCACAATGAGAATTCAAGTTCATGCTCAATTATGCAATGCAAAGCCATACTCAGATATATATCAACTCAACAAGGAATCTCCACAAGTTCTTCTCTCTCTCAACTCTTTAACATTCATTAAGCTTTTTAACAAGTGGATCAAATGGTGCATTGTTTAAACAAACATAGTTTGGCTAGGGTGAGGTTATGAGACTAAAATGATCTCATCAATGCTTGAGAGGGTTCAATGCAGCAAAAGGATCTCTCAATGAATGACCAAACGTTGGCAGAATGCTAAAGGTAAAAGGCAACCTATGCATACAAGGGCAAAGACTCATCCCACCCCACACTCTACTCAAAGTTTCCTCACTTGCTCACTTTTCACACTCATTCTTCTCTCACTAGGGGACTCTCTTTTCTTTTTCATACACAAGTCTTGGAGTTCAAACTTTACATAGCTCTTTTTCACTTTCTTTTGTAACCTCTAACCTCTTCTTTTTTTCTTTCTTTTTTTTTAAAACATTTGAGCTCTTTGGCTTCTTTTCTTTTCACTTAGAGGCTAGACTCTTTCTTTTCAAAACACTAGAGCTCACTTTCTTTGACTTAAAACTCCAAGACTGATTTCTTTTCTTTTTCATTCCCCTAGTTCTCACCATTCTCCTTTCATTTCCACTCATCTCTCCTTTTTCCACTCACCAACATGTATTCCCCCACACTTAGTTCTTGCCAAATCTCTCAGCTCCTTGATGATGGAACTTAGCACTCAATGAGACTTGCCCTTGTCGCCCTAAACCTAACACTTTCTGCTAAGTTTGGTCCAAGGTGGCCTCTCAATCACACACAAACAATTGGCTTGAAAGAAGGATGGGTTCAGGGTGAGGAAAACTGATCTATTATGCAGATTCAGCTATTTGAGCTAAGGAAGAGGATGGTAAAAACAGGATTCCAGCTCAAATATGTATATTGGTATCCACAAGCTTGTTCAAACAATGCACCAAATGATAATTTCAAGTCAAGTTCAGGGTTTTCACTTAATTAGAGTTGAGTTCAATTCAAACTTGTTTCTCAGATTCAGATCATTTCAGACTTTGCAAGCACAGAAAAAGATTCACAAGCATATTCAATTCAAGTTCTCAAAGTGATGTACTCTCTAGAAAACCTATCATTACTCCCTGCAAGATGCAACCTACATGCATATGCAATCTAGACTCAATCCTAAAAATGAGAATGCAACTACATGATCATTTTTTTGTGTAAATTTTTTCAGATTTTTCCATTTTTTTTGTTTTTATATGCACTTAGATGAGACTAAATGAATATGCAACTAGAATGTGACTCAAGACTCAAAGTGTAAAATAAGAAAAGAGAAAACATGATTAGTAAAGGATGAAACTCCTCCCCCACACTTAAATAACACAGTCCCTTGTGTTATAAAAGCATGAGAAAGGAGTTTAAAACAAAATAAACAAGTAAAATGCAAAAGAAAAAGAAAATCTACATGCTATTTACAAGGTTTTGAGTGTTACCTAGTGGCTGTTGAAGTCAGACCCCAATGAGTAGGAGGGGTTCGAAGTGTGGCCTGACGGTGTTTCCCAAGAATGGTGGCTGGCCTCATCAGTCCCGTCGTCAAGATCTACCCAAGTGGTTCCATATGTGACCAAGGCTGTGCAGTTCATGGAACTCTCCCCCAACTTCCTCTCTGTTCCTTGGTGAAACCGGTGCTGGAGCCCCACCTTTGCAAGGGTTTTCAAGCTTCTTGATCCTCTTCTTCATCTCCTTGATGCATTTGGCCATCTTGTGGATGGTTCTTTCTTGGTACTTGCACCATTGTTGGAGAATACCAATCTTTTGTTGAGCTCTAAACCCTGAAGTGCCTGGTTCCTCCCAGTTGTAATCATCAAAGTGATATCTGTTTCCACCAAAACGTTTTTGAGGTGGAGGCAGATCAGCATCTTGAGCACCAGCTGCACTTGTGGTAGCATCTTCAGCGGTTGCTTTCTTTCCCTTGGAGGCTTTTTCTCTGCAAGCTTGCTTGTATGTGAGGATTGGTGGATCAGTTTGGACATTGTACAGCTCTTCCTTCAGCAAGAAGAAGTGAATGTTCCTTTTAACTTGGACTGTGGTGATGGAGGGATTGGGTAGGAGAACTTGGGCTGGCTCACTGATGAGTGTCTTGAAGTTGTAGACTACCTTGGTACCCACTCTTCCTTGGAGGAAGCCAATCTTACACAAATGTGCTTCATTAATCAGATCAAACTTTGCTTTGTTCTCCTTGAATCTGTACCCCATGGCTTTCAAGATCTTTGTTACCACCCATCCATGGGCCAGCTTTGCATCTTGCTTTGTGGAACCCCACATGCACTTTTTGTAGAACATCAAAGACCTTGCTAATTGAGATGCAAGGCAAAGTGGGTATTCATACCCTTCATAGGGTTCCCCATCTTCATGTGTTGGCATCAGCGGTCTCAGCCCTACACCAAGAAGCATCA